CACCATCCCAGCCAGCTCTGTGCCTGTCCACCCGTCAGGGCCTGCGGAGCTGCCCGCCATGTTGCTCATGGCTGCGCGCACGTCGAACATGCTCAGCGGCTCCCACGCCCGCACGCTCATCCCCTCGAGGGCCTGTTGGGGCCTCCTCCTCCACTCCCTCTCGTTCGGTCTGGTCCTCCTCCAGACCTTTCGCCACCGCCTCCTCGGGAGCAGCAGCGCCTCCTCGGTCGTCTTCGTGGCCGCCCGTGCCGGGTCCTCCTTGCTGTAGAGAGGTGCGCCTGGTGCCCGGGTACCCCCTCGCAGCCATGCGTGTGCAGCGCGCGAGCTCTCTCGCAGGCGCTCCTTCCATCGGTTGATCCTCGCTCTCCTCGCCTCCTCACGGCAGCGGTGCAAGCGATCTCCGGCCTCCTTCTCCAGGGCGGCCCATTTGTCGACACCCGTGGGGATAGCCACGTCTAGGCGCCGCGCGGCCTCCTCCACCTTTCGTCGTAACGCTTCCGCCTCCTCGGACCTGTCCTGGGCCCTTTGCTGCAAGAAGCGCAGCCTGCGGCACCTCGCAACGAGGTTTGCGAGATGCTTCTCCTGGAAGGTGGGCGCCGCGCCTCCTCCGGCGGCCCGGCTCCTCCTCCTCTCCTTGACCTGCACCACTCCTTTGTGGCAGCCCTCGCGTGGAGCAGGCCCAAGGTCACGTCTGCCTTCCTTTCGTCCTCCTGCGTCCTCGTCACACTCCTCCTCCTCCTCCTCCTCATCCTCCTCTTTCCTCTCCTCCCACTGCTCCGCCTCCTGCAGCAGCAGCGCGCGTGCTCGGCGGCAGGCGACTTCCATGCAGTACGTCAGGTGACGCCACCTCCTGTCGACAGCAACCTGGTCCTCCTCGGTGCCGGTCGGTTCCTCCATTGGTCGTCCCAGGATGGTGTGCGAGCGGCCGTGGAAGTGCCGCCACTCCTCGTCCAAGACGTTCGTCCAGCGCTCCAGGGAGACGTCTTTGGGCCGCTCCAGGCTGCAGTGCCGCATCAGCTCGTACTCCACCGTCTCGCCGGCCCGGTGCTTCAGCTCTTCCGTGAAGAAGGTGACAGCCCGGTGGTCCGCCACCGCGCTCTCCTCCGGGTCAATCCAGGTCAGCTTGACCCCAAAGTTGCAACTGACCCCGTAATCGATTGCACTCTCTGCGTTCCATTTTGTGCTCGTCCAGCGCCCCTCCTCCTGGGACGCCTCAACCCTGCACGTGTCGTAGGGCAGCAGCAGCTTGTCCGGCTGCGTATTCCAGTCCCCGGCGGCGAACCACTGCCGGAGGCCGTCGGTGTGCACCATCGTGGCAATGATGCTCATGGCCTCTGTCGCCTCCACGTGCGGCGGGCTGTAGACGTTGAAGACGACGACCTGCGCCACCTCCACCGCCAGCACCTGCCCGTCCCTCCCTCCCTCGGCACCCCTTTGGCGCGAGGGGAGCCTCTTGTGGACCAGGGTGAGGACCCCCGCGTGTTCTATGCCGTTGGCATCTGCGTAGCCTCTGGCGTGGTACGCCTTGTAGCCCTTCTTGTGGGCCACCGTCTTCATAGCTTCCACCGCCTCGGGACGCAGCGCCACCTCCTGAAGCAGCACCGCATCCACGGCCTCGTCCATGGCCGTCCTGGCCGCGAGCCACGCTCCTGGCTCGTCCCGGACATTGCAGGTGCGGATGTGCTGCCGCCACGCCGCCTCCCTGTCATCCCTGGATTGCCTCCTCCTCGTCGTCGTCTTCGCCTCCTCCTGCTTCGTCGGCGTCTTCTCTGACGACTCGTCTCCTCTGCTCTCTTCCTCTCCTTCCTGCCTCACGCGCCTCCTCGCCTCTTCCTCCTCCTCCTCCTCACCTTCCTGCCTCATGCTCCTCCTCGCCTCCGTCGGCGTCTTCCCTGCTGTGCCTCCTCCCTCCTCGCCGGGCTCCCGCGAGTCTGCGGTCTCGGCGGTCCCTGCCCCTCCCCTCAGGCGCCGGTTAGGCGGGCGCGACCATGCTTGATCGCCCCGCCGGGCCCCTCAAGACGCCGCGGCGGCGTCCGGCGCCCTCTCGTCAGGCTCCTCCTTTTTCTTCTCCTCAGCCTCTTTCCTCGCGCCCCACCTGCCCAGCAGTGGTAGCCCTGCTGCCTTGCGCTCCCTCGCGGCTCTCCTGGACGCATTCCTCTGCTTCCTCTTCGGGTCCTGCTCTATGTACGCCTGCCGCGCCTCTGCTGGCGACATGTCGTGCGCCTCCCTGAAGTGTGCCTCCCTGCTTGCTTGCAGCTGGAAGCGGGGCATCACTGACCACCACTTGTTGCAGAGGCCGCAACGGCTCCCGAGCAAGCATTCCGGCGTCGGCACCTCATCGGGGAGGCCCGCCTCCTTCCGGATGTCCTCCTCGCTCCTCGGTGCCAGTCTTTCCGTCGTCTTCCTGTATGGTGAAGATCTGCGGGCCCATCTCCGGATGAACCTTTTTCGCATGCTCCATCTTCGCGCTGCCGGCCCACTGCGTGGTGGTGGTCACCACTCGGTACCCGCAGCCCTCCACGGGGCACTCCCACACCTTCTTGCCCGTGGCCTTGTCGACCTCGTAGCTCTTCCCTCGGGCCAGGTATTCGCCCCGTGTCTGCGTGGCGTACATGGTGCGGCGCCGCCTCCATGCATCTTTGTACTTCTTGTCTTCGCCCTCGGCCTCGGCCTCGGCTGCTCCTGCCTCTCCTCCAGCTGCCTCGTGTTCCTCAGCTCCGCCTTGCGGAGGCTCGTCGAGCCGTGCCTGGCCCCCTGCCTCCTCCTCCTCCTCCTCCTCTTCCTCGCCTTCAGCTGGGCCTGCGCCGACGCTCGGCGCCCAGGTCCCCAGCGCGCTGGGCGTCTTCCTCCTCAGCCTCCTCCTCGTGAAGCCCGTGGCTCCCGTGCCGACGGAGCTCGCCGGCGCCTGCGTTCCTGCGCCTCCGGCGGCTGCGCTGCCCTCGGGCCGCATCCAGCTGGCAACCACGCTCCCCTCCGGGCGCATCCAGCTGTGGGCGGCCTCGCTCGCGCAGCTGGCTGCCCTCCTCCTTCCTCCTGCCTTCGCCTCAGCCTCCACGCCAAACGGGGGGGTCGCAGGGCCGCGCGCCGCGAATCGGCATCGACTGGTACACGCCTCGTACTTCTGCGCATACTCATGGGCGCCCCCTGCGAACTAGCACATACCGCAGCAGACCTCGCAGGTCCGCCTCGTGGCTGGGAAGGAGCCTTGCACGGAGCGTGGGGCACCGGACAGCAGCGCTGAGATGCCGGGGCGCCTTGCTGATGGCATCATCGTCCCGCCTCAAGAGGATCGAGGGGCCATGGAGAGCGAGAGAGGTGGGAGTGCGGTGAGCGATCTTCCCTGCCACAGACCTAGGGCTCGGGCACCTGCAGCCGAGCCTGGGGGGCTAATCGCCTAGTGGTCAAACACATCGCGGCACAGCAGACCGCATCGATCTGCGTGTACTGGACCGCGCGGGGGAGGAGCCGCAGAGCATCATGGCGCAGGCCGGCATCAAGGAGTGCACGTGCGTGCGCGGGTTCAGGAGTCATGGGCGCCATTCCACCGCCCAGGGCCACGTGCCTCGAAGGCCCCCCTTCGTGGCGGACGACAAGCGCATCGTCCGCCCGTTTGGGTCACCAGGGCGATGCGAGTGCGGCGAGTGCCCTGCCATTCCAGAGGACCCCACCGAGTGGACACGGGCAGAGGTGAGACCTCACAGCGTTTCACGCGCAACGCAATCCCTTCCTCCTGGCGTAAGCCGACGGTACACAACTCCCTGAGGAAGCTCATGTGACGGGGCTCCTCGGCGCTATCACGCTGTTCGGTGATCGTGAGGCGGAAGGTAGAGGACAAGAACAACCCCTCAGGCGCGCACCCACATGGATATGGATGGACCGACATGTGGGAGTGCGGCCCCGTCCACAATCGGCGGCGAGCCTCACCGCACAGCAGCTCGCCAGCGAGCCGGCGGCCAGCAGACGGGCTCCACGGCCAACCCTGCCCCTCCAGAGCACAGGGGGCCCGAGGGCGGCGGTCGCACTGTCCTCGACGGCTGCCCGAGGTCGCACGGAGGGGGTGGGAGATCGTGCTCGCCCTCTCGCCGCTCTTCGTCGCCGCGTCGTTCGGCCAGCCTCGCCACGCTCTCCTCGCCACGCCTCCCTGCGCCGCACACCCGCAGCGCAGCCACCGTGCCGGCCCCTGGCCGGATGGCTTCCACTCCACAGCCTCCGCTCGGCGCGGCCACGAGTGGCACCTCGCCCGGCCAACGGTCGCAAACGCTCAGAGGCCTGCAGCCCTCGTCAAAGGTAACCTCACCAGTGTCTTGCGTGGCTGAACTGTTCGTGGGGAGATACTGGACAGAGTAGCGACGAGTGCGAGGTACTTGTATGCGCCGCCCCTCCAATGTCGGTCATCATCGAGCTTCCGAGTCGTTCCTGGTCAGACCACTGTTGCCCTGGCCCCGACATTGGAGAGGCGTCTATCGACATTGAAGGTTTTTTGTAATTAATTTTGACGAGGGTAGTAGAATGTGCAAGTGAGAGTAGGGAGGGGGGCGCCGGCTGGGCAGCCCGTGAGGGTCGGCCTCATCTCATTGCGCAAGCGCGCGGCGCATGCCTTGTCGCTTCCCTCCACGAACAGGCTGGAAGTTTCCCGGCGCTTGCTGTTATGAGTCGGCACTCCCTGGCGGCGGTGGAGACGAAAGAAGAGAATGAGGAGGCCGACGACGACGAGCAAGAGAAGATGGAAGAGCAAGAAGAGAGGAAGAACATGACGACCAGCACCGAGAGGCGGAGGTGGAGGGGAAGGGGGGCAGGACGGGGGACTCTAGCGCCTCCTCATCTGATTGGCGAGGGCGAGGGACAGCGCCTACCCCCCTGCCAAGAATACATGCTCACCCTCGTCCTCGCTGGAGGACTCCTCTGGCTTCCCCCCCGCCTCCCTCCTAGCCCACGACCGCACAAGAACGCAAGCAAGACACCGCCGCGCCTACCGCCCCCCCTACCCACATCCCCGTCTCCGTAGGCGGAGTCTGAGCCGTACTTCTCCCTGTGCCTCCTCTCCAGGCTGCGCGTGGCCTGCATGAGAACCTGCAGAGCACTCCCCCCACGATCCGGGCTGATCCATGGCGTGCTGCCGATCCTGCTACGGCCAGCTCGGTCCCGCACAGAGCGCGGAGCGACCTGCCGATCGACCGACAGCCCGACCGACCACGCGGATCCCCATCGGTCGACAGATCGGCCGCATCACTGACCTGGTCGACACCTCATCGATCTACAGTCGAGCCGTTGACCTAAGGAACCCCAAATGAGGAACGAGGCCCCTGTTTTCGATAAGTTAAGCTTCGATTTCGCATGGAAGACCTCATGAAAGCCTCAGGCAAACTGTAAAACAGCGAGGGAACACCGAGACCCTCCCTGACGAAAAGGGTTCCTTCTTCAGCGCCCCGACTGCATGACCGACGGATCAGGGTCTTAGCTGCCCCGATACGCAACACGCAACACGTAGCGTATTGATACGGAGCTCAACACGTATCCTGAAAGCGTGGGCCTGACGCGATACGTTCGTCGAAACGTGGGCCAACACGTTCAGCCAACACGCAGCGCATTGGAATTGGAACGGACGTTTTGAGCACGGCACGTGTTGCGTATGGAAACGTGCGTTATCGAGGCAGCTGAGATCCGGGTGCGTTAAGGTGTGGGCGAACATGATGCCTGCATAGCCCAGCGCGCTCAGCGCCAGCCACCCGAGCGGACCAGCCCGGAGCCCCTCGCGCTGGAGGCTCAGCCAGGCCGCGAGGCCAGCGGCAAAGTTCGCGGTCCACATGAGCTGCTCGCCTCAGGTCGGGCATGTTCCCCTACAGGCGGATTTTGGACGAAAAAAACAGCCCAAAGATACCCCACAAATATTCCAACATATTCCAGAAATCGTCCCCGTACTCTCTTCTTTGCTATTTTTGCAGATTCCTCCTGTAGAGGGACAAGCCCGACTTGATGCTCGCCTGTGTAGTTCGGGTGCCGCAGCAGACTGAACGGCCCGCCGGTCACCAGCGCGGCGTCGCCCTTGACCGCCTTGCGCACCGATTTCCAGGCGTCACCCGCGGCGTTGATCACCCAGCCGGCGTACATCGCCACCATGCAGCCGCGAAACAGCAGGGCGACGGGGCAACCTGCCACGCTCAGCCGCTGGCCGGCGAGGGCCGCGAGCGCCACCGGTGCCACAAGGCCCAGGTACAGCAGCGAGCAGCTCAGCACGAAGGGCAGCCGGTTCAAGCGCCCGCCCTGGCTCGTCGCCCTCTCCTCTATCTTCTCTCGGAGTTTCTGGAAAAATGGAATCCTCTCCCGGTACAGCAGGAACAAGCACAGCCTGGCGCCATAGAGCACCAAGCACAGGGCGTGCACGCCCGCCGCAGTGGGGAGGGGGGCCGCGCTGCTCAGGAGGTGGGCGCCAGACCAGGCCACCGCGCCGCCGTATCCGAACGACACGCCGTACTCCCTCTTCCAGATGCCTAAACACGTCGGCAGCGTGCAGCTCGCCAGCAGCGTCGCGGGCGAGGCCGCCCGCAGCCTCTTTTTTGTGCTTCCTGCACATAATATGTTATGCTTGCGACACTTCTGGCCCATGGCCCCCAGACATGCTCGCGTCATGAACAAAAAATCAGGACGGACGGTTTTTCACTATTTTCGACCCCGGGGAGCCCTCGCTGGGCCCCAGGGCCGTCAAAAAACGACTCGGGAAGAAAAGCTGGTCATTGGGAAAGGGTCGGGACTGCCGGGGACGCCGTCCTGAAAAAATCTGGACGTCGCATGTCTGAGCCTGTCTCTCTGACCATAGGCCGCGGAGACCGGGCATGGTCACCCCGAGCCCCGGCCTAACCTTCTCTTTGGAGCAGGGACCGACCGTCCTGGCATTCCTATAGGCCCACCACGAAATGTTCTTCGAACCCGAAAATGTTCCAAACACCAGAAAAAGAACATAACCCCGATGTGTTCAAAGAAGACAGTCTCAGCCAGAAATGTTCTAAGAAAATTTCGTGCTGACCAGAAAAGGTTCTTAGAACATTGTTTTGTTGGCCTATAGGCGAGCCAAGACGCTTCGCCACTGCTCGATCCCTTGGCCCCCCCCCTTGCTCACGGCCGACCGACCTCAGCCGGCCGCCCCGAGCCCGGGCCGCCGCTGGTTGTGGGCTTCTTTTCCACCGGCACCACCAGAAGTAGGAGGGGGAGGGGGTTCTCCTCCTCCTCCTGCTCCTTCCTCCTCCTCATCATCAATATCATTATCATCAGCATCACCACCACCATCATCATCGCCATCATCATCATTATCATCATCATCATCATCGTCATCATCATCATCATCAGCAGCAGCAGTAGCATCATCATCATCATCATCATCATCATCATCATCATCATCAACATCATCATCATCCTTCTCTTCTTCCTCCTCCTCCTCCTCCTCGTCTTCCTCCACATCCTCCGCTTCTGCCTTATCTTCTTCCTCCTCCTCCTCCTCTGCCTCCTCTTCCTCCTCCTCCTCCACCTCCTCCTCCTCCTCCTCCCTTCCCCCCTCCAACTTCTGGTGGTGGTGGTGGAAAACAGGCCCATCAGCTGGAACGCACCAGCCGCGAGGCGACCCCAGCAGCGACGCGGCTGCGAGCGCAAGCGCCAGCTGCGCACAGCGGCGCCCGCGCGCGGCGCGCATCGCGCGCGCCGGCGGGCGCGATGCGCGCCGCGCGGCCGAGCCGCTCGCCCCCCGGGAGGGCACTGGAGAGCCCCAAGGCCGCCGAAGCGCGCGCCGAGCCAAGCGCCCGACAGGGAGAGGGCGGGTCAATTGCGTCCGTCCGCCCCCCGCCCTCCACCCTCCCCAGCCCCCACCCACCCTTCCCACCCCTCTCCCCACCCACCCTCCCCACCCTCTGTCCGTTCGCCCCCCACCCTCCCCACCCCGCCCACTGCCTTCTCTCTCTCTCTCTCTCTCGTCGCCTGCCGCCTTCCCCTCCGCCCGCTCTGCCACGTTCTGCCTCCTCTCCTCCAGCGCCTCCCGCGCATGCCAAAAAAAGGTCCGGCGAACGCGCTGTCCTCGCCATCTGAATGCGGGCCAGTTCAGGAAAGCTGGGACTAGACCGCAGTGAGAAAACAGGAAGACGCGCGGAGGAGCAGGAGGAGGAGGAGGATCGGAGGTTAAAGGGTGAGATCCAAATGCAATGGAGGCCCTCGACCTGGAAATCGGTTTCGGCTGCGTGCTCGTGACGCGCGTGCGGGCGAGGCGAAGCTGCGTGCGCGGGCGCGAGAGGAGAGCGCCCGCCGGTGGGCGAAACCGGGCCACGTGATGCTGTGCCCCCCCCCGGCAGGCCGGCGTTGGCCCGGGAGCGTCCCGGTGTTATGCCAGGTAGGGCGAAACCGCTTCAAATGGGACGCACAGAGACATACTAATACTATACATATATACCTATCTATGTCTATATATATGTATATATATATATATATATGTGTGCATAATTTTTTATATACATATATATATATATATATGTATATGTATATGTATCCTCCTCGGAGGCACGCGTCCGACCCGAACAGACAGTATACCCGTCTTGTAGTACATCGTTTCCTGAGCGGTGTGGCCAGAAAGCGCCCGCCACGACGCATGTACTATGAGATTTCCCGGAGCGCACCTCGCCCCTGCGGGGGCGACGCACACATGATATTAGTATGTTGGTGTGGCGCCGATCACATGATGCTGTGCCCATTTGGCCAGCGGTGGTCACGGGGTGTCCCGATGGTGTCCACATGGTGTCTCGATGGTGTCCCGATGGTGTCCCGATGGTGTCCAGATGGTGTCCCGTTGGTGTCCCAATGGTGTCACGATGGTGTCCCGATGGTATCCCGATGGTGCCCCCATGGTGCCCCGATGGTGTCCCGATGGTATCCCGATGGTGTCCCCATGGTGCCCGGATGGGGTCCCGATGGTGTCCCGATGGTGCTTGAAATTGTGCCCCGATGGTGTCCCGATGGTGTCCAAATGGTGTCCTGATGGTGTTCTGTTGGTGGTCCTGATGGTTGCCCCTTGAGATCGGTAGACAGATAGATAGTGAGATCGACGGATAGTGAGAGCGATCGATCCTGAGATCGATAGACAGATGGTGGGATCGATTGTGAGATGGATATGGGGACCGATCGATCATCGGAAGTTGGGGGGTGAGATCGAAATGAAACGGAGACCCCCCACCGGAAAAACGGTTTCGGTTTCGTGTTGTGCGCGCCGGCGGGCGAGGCGAAGCTGCGTGGGCGGGCGAGCGGGCCGAACTCGCCGTTGCTAGGGCGAAACTGGCCCACATGTTGCTAGCCCCCTCCCCGGTTGGCCGGCGGGGGCTCGGGTGTCCCACCGGTTGGCTGGCGGTGACGTGGGGTGTCCCGATTGTGTCCACATGGCGTCCGCATGGTATCCACATGATGCGCCGATGGTGTCCACGTGTTGTCCTCATGGTGTCCACATGGTGTCCCGACGGTGCTCCGATGGTGTCCCCATGGTGTCCCGATGGTGCGCCAATGTTGTTCCAGTTGGCCAGAGGTTGCATGACTGCTACTGCTGAGTGCTGCCCGTCTGCGATGCCCCGCTCATCACCAGCATCGTCGCTATGCACCGTCACCATCACAATCGCCATCACGCATCGTCACCAGCAACGCCATCAGACATCGTCACCAGCTCGCGAGCGCATCACCAGCATCGACACCATCACAATCACCGCAAGTGTCGTCAGTTGCCTCCCCACACACAAAATCCGTCTCACCCCAAGGGATGGTCGTATAGGCAAGGAGGAAAATCATACTAGAGAGAACGAAGTTTGCGAGAACCGCCAACCTGCCACGATCCTTTTCGAGCCGAGATCGTGGCGGATGTGGCCTCCAATCCTGGCTCTGGGCTTATACGCACCAGGATCTGAATCGGAACTGGGCTGTGGAGGATTGGCGGTGGCGGGGAAGACTTCCTGGCATCGCCTTGAACCTCTTGATCCCCCTGAAACCTGCTAAAACCACATTGCACAATACCCAGACACCCGATATCTGGTCATCTTCGAAGGAGAGGCAGAACTGCCCCGACGCAAACGAGCGCATGCTGCGGCTTTTGCTTGATCCAGCAGCGGCGGAGCCCGAGGCCGCCGCATGCAGAATGATCAATCCCGCTGGGTGGGATGGCACTCGTTTTAAGCTTGTTGTTCCCCTACAGCAGTGGGAACCCCCAGCCATTTGCCCATCGGTTCCAGTCTTGAACCCAAGCTGAATCCGAGTCCAATCCAATCCAATCACTTACCTCCTCGCCGTGATTCCCCGTTGTCTCCCCATCCCTCTCCACCCCTCACCGTCATTCCCTGGCCCTCCTTTTTTGTCCCCTATTAGTGTTCCGCTCGAAGGTTCGAATAGCGGTGCACAAACAAACAAACTAATAGACTCACTGGGTGGACGGGGAGCCCTAAACTGCCCCGTTCAGCACGGTCCCGCAGCTGTCCGGCGGCGGCTTCGCCTGAGACTTCCGCACAACGTGTTCAGGAATCGTGCTCTCGCCCTAATGCCGGCCACACTTTTGCGCCTCACGACCTTCCGTGTTGCCAAAGCTCCACACCCGCGTACGCTTTCGATGCAAAAGGGAGCACCCTACCGCACGTCGTGCTTGTCCTGAGAGCCCATGGGAATACCTGGGACTGCACGTGTTCACCAGCCGACCTCCTGCTCCTCGGGCCGCTTCTTCACCTCTGCTGCCATGACAGTCGACACTCGGAAGCTGGGCGAGGGCTGGCAAATCCGTGGCTGCTAAAATGGTCCTCCCCCGTACGAACAACACAAACCCCCAGAATAAAACTCAGCGCGCTAAATCATAAACGGGCTGCTTACCGGAAGGAAAAAACAAGTTCCCGGAGCTCCGTTTCAGCAGTCGCGGGTTTGCCAGCCTTCGCCTGGCTTCTGAAACACGTAGCACAAGGAGACGCGGTCAGGATGCAAGGGCCTTGGAGGGCCACGATCACGTTCTTCTAGCGAGGCTCGCCAGCGGAAGTCGCTAAGGATGGACCGAGGAGGCAAGGGTACTCTTGAGAAGGTGGCCCATCCTTACCATGCGGGTCGACTGTAGGGTCACCGCACCGACCTCGCAGGCGTGCTGCAGCAGATTTTTGCATGGAAGCGGCGAGCGAAAAACGAAGTGAATGTCACCTGGATTATTTGTAATCTTCATTCCTGGCAGAAAATTCCGCGCGAAATTCCCTTCGAAATCCGGAACAAACTTCCCCGTGACACTCTGGGCCCATCCCGTTGTTTTCCGAGCGAAATCCGCTCTGCGATGTTGGCGCCATGACAGGATGCAAGGGTACCCTTGGGAAGGTGGCCCATCCTCACCATGCGGGCCGACTATCGGGGTGCTCTGCTGGGGTAGTTCTTCGCCCTGCCCCGGCCGGACCCCCGCCCCTCACGCTCCGAGTGCTCCCGCCCTCGCTGCCCTCGAACCCCCGTGGCGCCCTCTGCGCACCCCACCCCCCCGGGCGCCCTGGTCGCAAAATCTCGAGCTCTGCGCGCGAGCATCCTTCGGTCGAGCCTCCCCCTACAGCCGGATGTTGGACGAAAAATCAAAAATACCCAGAAAATCTTCAAAGCTGGCCAAG